CTCTCCTCTCTCTCTCCTCTCTCTCCTCCTCCCTCTCTCTCTCCCTCTCTCCATCTCTCCCTCTCTCCTCTCTCCCTCTCTCCTTCTCTCTCTCCCGCTCTCCCTCTCTCTCTCTCATTCTCTCAAGCATACTATATCCTACATTCTAAAATACATCCTACGTTCGGCCATCCTGCAGGGACATTCATCCCGAATGTCTTAAGGTGCATTTTCACGTGTCGCTCGAACCGGCCGTTTCAGCGACAAAAAGGGTCACGTGATTACTTTTGTCGCAGAATTGTTACAGCAGCAACTATGGCACATGAAAAATAGCAAGAAGCAGCAAATCTGTGTTTAAAAGACAGTTCTAACCTTCAAGCGACAGGACCTCAAACGTGCAGTACCAATTAAGGTGCATATTTTGAAACTGTTTGGAATGAATTTTCATCAGAATTATTCAATTATTTTCTATATTTCTATCGTGTTTTCTAGGAAAGACAGAATAATTCCGAGTTATGGCTTCAAAAAAATATTACAATTGGTTACTAAATTGTAACAAATTCATTTATGAACGTAAAGTCGAATTTGAAAATAATGCAGTTGTTGCAATTGCTATGAAAAGAATGCTATTACTGTGAAACACAGGACGATGTTTGCCATCGTCGGCGATGTACTGCGGTAGTACGTCGCACTATTACAGTGCTGCCACATTACATAGTACAACGTTTGAGCGTTAACTTTGTAGTTGAAACTGTTCAAACTACAAAATTTTAGCCGCTGAAATAAGAGCAACAGATCTGTCGCTCCACTTGCTTATTTCAGCAGCATGTGAAATTGCACCTTTAGTCTTCGACTTCACTTTTAGATTCGTCGCTCACAAGATCCACCCATGGTTTCATATGATCGGCGGATGTGGACGTTCTTAATGGTCCCTCATGCTCACCTACTCTATGTACAATGTATCGATCATTTCTCAATACTTTTATTATGGAGTAAGGTCCCAAATATTTATTCGCTAATTTTAAGCCAGGGCCTAGTTGTATGCGTTTTATTGCTACTAAATCATTCTCTTCGATTTTTTCGCCGATTTTCGTCTTTTATTAAAGTTACTCGATTTTCACACTGAATCTTTACAATACTTTCTTTCGCTCGTTTACGCAACTCATTTCGGTTATCTTGGAAATAATCGATCCATTCTTTTTTCAACAATTCTTTAATTTGGGGATCTTCTCGTACACGGGCATGAATTCCAAACAATAGATTAAAAGGCGTAGTGCCAATGCTTCTCTGCGCTGACCATTTCAAATATAACTGCACTAAATCAAGGAATTTATACCATTCTTCTCGTTTAGGATTTAAAAGCTTGGTCAACAATGAAATTAAAACTCTATTTATACGTTCCACCTGTCCGTTTGCGCGAGGAACCCCTCTTGTTGTTAACACATGACCAATACTTTAATTTGCGCAAAAATCCGCAAACTCTTTCGACGTAAATGCTGCACTGCGGTCTGAAATTACTCGTCGAGGATTTCCAACAGTTAACGACTGTTTCTTGAGTCTATTTATCCCTTCGGTCGCATTCGTGGTTTTCGTGGCATATAGCCATACAAATTTTGTAAACGCATCGACAACAGCAAAAATGTACTTATATTTCTTTTTCGTGGAAGGTAACGGTCCTAAGTGATCAACGTGATATGTATCTAAGGGTAATTCACCCTTTTCTATAGGGTTTAGATACCCTTCTTGTTTACCCTGTTTTCTTTCGGATGGAATACAAGTTACGCAATTCTTTATTACTTTCTCGATTTTTGATCTTACATTCGGCATATAATAGTCTCTAAGCAATAACGCTTCGGTCTTTGCTACTAAAAAGTGGCTTCGATCGTGAGATTGTTTAATAACATGTGTGCACATTGACCTCGGTACGACTAATAGAACATCTCCGCTATGCTTCTTAAATAATAAACCGTTTTTTATCACGTAGCTATCGATATTTCCATCTTTTACCGCATTGAACATTTTCTTTACATCGTCATCGCTTTGTTGAGCTTGTTTAAACTTTGAGGTCAAGGTATCGCGCTCGTCTATGACCATACAGGTTGGGAGGGGATTTCGGCTCAATACATCTACATGCAACATTACGTTATCGAACACAGACCGGAAAAGAGACTCTTTTCCGGCCTGTGTTCGATAACGTAATCGAATTCCTCTAAGAATAACGCCCAGTATGCCACACGCACGCATAGATCTTTCTTTTACATCGTTAACGCGAATGCGCGGCAGTCGGTTATTATTTTAAAAGCGATTCCTAGCAAATAAACGCGAAATTTTATCAAAGCTTTAACGATAGCCAGTACCTCTAATTCGTAACTCGTATATCGCCGTTCCGCAGGTGAAGTTTTATCACTCGAATAATAAACAGGATGAAATGCGCTATTTTCATCATTTTTCTGTAGAAGGATCGCACCATAGCCATCAATTGATGCGTCCGTATGTAATTCCGTCGTGGCATTTTCTTTATATAAGCGTAACACGGGTTTATCGCATAAGATATCTTTTAAACAATTAAATGCTTCTTTTTCTTCGGCTTCAAAACGAAATTTTGTATTCGATCTTAACAGATTAGTCAATGGGCGCGCTATTAGTGAATATCTTGGTACGAATTTCCTGAAATACCCGCTCAATCAAAGGAAACTTTGTATTTGTTTGATACTAACCGGCTCTGGAAATTTACGTACCGCCTCGATTTTATGCTCTGACTGTATTTTACCATCCTCTATTACGTGACCAAGGAATTCTATTCTAGCTTGTAAGAAACAACATTTCCTCCAATTTATATTTAATCCCGCTTCACTCGCAATCTTTAACACGATCTCAAGTTTATGTATTCCTGTAATTTCGTCTTCGGAAGGAATTATCAAATCGTCTATGTAAGTTAACACTATTTTATCGCGTATTGCATCTTTAAAAGTCTCGTAAAAGCTGACGGCGAGTGAAAAAGTCCGAACGGTACTTTCATAAACTCATAGTGGCCATCCGGGACAATGAAAACCGTATACTTCTGACTTTTTTCATCTACCGGTACGTGAAAGAAACCGTTTCTCAAATGTAAGGTGCTAAAGTATTTCGCGCTTTGCAAACAATCTAGTTAATCTTCTATAAGGGGAAGGGAATATCTATCACGCATGATTTTCCTATTGAGCTGCCTATAATCGACACACAATCTAGTGCTACCGTCTTTCTTTTTACTAGAACGACAGGACTCGCGTATTCGGAAAGAGAAGGCCGCGCAACGCCGTCTCGAATCCACTCACTGATATGTTCGTTCACCTTCTCTCTTTCTACCGGAGATAATCGTCGGGCTTTTTGATATACCGGCTCTTCGTCCTTTAAAATAATCGACATTTTAACGCTGGTCTCTCTAATTTTGACAGGATTGTATTTGCTAACAATGTTCTCAAGAGCTAACCGAAGTTCGTTACTTGAAACATATTTTACATCTATTTTATTAGTTTCCTCGCGTTCCAAATTTATCTAAAATATTTCAGGCAACTCGTTACTTTTTGCGTTTACCTCTTATGAGGGGCTAATCAGTACTTTCCCGTTTTTTATACATAATTCGATCGTATTCAAAAAATCAATGCCAATCAGAAATCTCTGACTTATTACTTCGTTAGTGACTACTCGAATAAGTATGGTGTAAGAATGTCCATCGACTGTTACTTTTGCACGGAATTCTCCTATTGCTACGTTTTTACCTAAACCCACGCCGCGAAACCGTGTTTTCTTGCGCTCTAACAAAGGAGATTCTATTTCGGCGTATTGGTCCGCACGCATAAGGCTTAGATCGCTTCCGGTATCGATTAATGCGTTAACATTGTAGCCGTTTACCTTAACCTTCCTTGTTACATTTCGTTTGTATCACCTGGGTTACTACACAACTACTTTTTTCCGCCTGCTTCTCTGCCAGGTTTCTGGAACACTTTACTGCGATGTGTCCTCGCTCTCCGCACTTAAAACATTTCGGGCCGCTTTCTTTCGTCGGGCAGTCCTTACCAAGATGATCGAGTTGGCCACAGTTGAAACAATGCTTTTTTCCGCCGATTGGGGTCTTCTGCTCGCCTTTTCCACTCTCGTTGCTCTCCTTCTTCTTCGCTCGAAGCTTCTCACTGTTCATCGTCTCTGGATGTTTTCTATTTCCGAGCGTAATACACTGAAATGCTTCTAGTAATCAACTTAAATTAAACGAATGTCATGATGGAAAACGTTTAGGCAATGTGAGCCGTCACCGTTGAAGTGGTGTGACAAAATTATATACATGAATATCTTATTATTAACAGATCTTTAATAAAATCATCTATAATAAAAATATAATTTGTACGTTTCGGTCTGCGAAAGCGACCCTCTTCAGCATTGGAATAAAATTAAAATTAAATATAATAGGTACGAACTATAAATTATCGTTGTAAGATAGCGCAACATATTCGTATTATAACGAGTGTGTGTGAGACGTATCAGTCTTACTTATATAGTGGCGGAATCGTGTAACGACACATACACGACAACCCGTTACACGATTCCGCCACTATATAAGTAAGACGGATACGTCTCATACACAATTGTAGGAATAAAGGACTAAGAGCCGTGACAGGGTGTTACTGTCTAAATATTTTATTCTAAATTTATTGCAAAAAACTATCACCTCAGTCAGGGTTTGAACCTGGACCTCCCTCTCGCTAGGCGGGCCTCTCAACCAATTCGACCACCGAGGCATATGGCAATTAATATTCATCGCAATAAATAGTCTAATGTTCGTTTCCGAATGCCACCTATTGTGACAGTACAATTATCCCTACAATGTATACCCATTATTATCCTCCCACCCGACCGTATAATAAAATATTTAGACACTAACACCCTGTCACGGCTCTTAGTCCTTTATTCCTTCAAATTTATGTTTATCACATTTGAGCCATACGAATTTTATTAATTAATTATTTTTATATTTTGTGAAGTTCTTTGAAACAATGTGATAAGTTTTTGATACCACTTTTGACCTTTTTAAAACAAAACTTTCAAGTCTGTATATTTTTTAATTTGACATTTATTTAGATATTCCACATCTTTTTAAAGAAAAAAGGTATTTTTGTGGTAATTATTTAGATTAGCACACCCACCTCCAATAACCTTGGGCTTGACATATATTATAGAGGTCACCCTCCTGAGTAACCCTCAGAAGGATTTAGCCGGCGCTCGTTGTTTATTAAAAAGTTATTAAAAAAACAATGTCAACCAATTATATGTAATTTTCAGACACAAATATTAAAAATTTTGAAAAATGTTTTAAACAAAAGTTGTAGATCTCTTTGAAATATACATTTTATGTTCTATTCAGTTTTACTGTGCGAGTAATAGTTTTCGAAAAAAATGATGAACTCTAAATCTTATATCTCTCCTCCCATCTCCATCTGTCGTACGTCATGGAAGTACATGCATGGAGACAGTATGTTCCGCCCCCCCTACGGGGGGGCTCCACTTCGTTAAAAATAACCCTACCCACCCTATGTCAGAGGTGTGGAGTGGATCTCGCTTCACGTGGAAAGTCGAAAACCCATGTTGTGTCGCTACATTTCGTCGGTATGACAGATTTCCTAACTCTAAAAGTTGTCAACTTTAACAATTAATATCTCGCTTCGTCGTTTAGCACGGCGCGCTACGTGCGCCCCCCCCCCCCCACTCCACCGCCCTCCCCTTCCCCACCTGCTCTCTCTCCTCACCTCCTTCCCCGCACTTACAACTTACCACCTTCTGTCA